CCAACCCTGGCGCCTGTTGTATATTTGGAGTTTGCGTGTCTCTCTCTCTCATCATCATTACGGTGGCAGGGAGATGTTAACAACCTCGCCTGGTATGCAGGAGGTCGTGGACTCGACCCCGACCCTGACGCCTGCTGCTGTATATTTGGAGTTTGCGTGTCTCTCTCTCATCATTATCACGGCGGCTAGGAGATGTTAACAACCTCGCCCGCAGGGGCAGAGCCAGGATTTTGACTTTGGGGGGGCTGACTTCAATATTCTGAGATATCCAGTGTATGTTTTCCAATGGGCGCCACAAATGTATAAAACAAATATTATTGGATTTGAACGCGGAGTTTATTAATAGGTCGGAGCCGCTGATGTGGCTAATAAGTTTGATAAGTTCTAAAGGCTGCCGCTCAAGCAGCCTGCAGGGCAGCACGAGGTGGCAGCCTGCAGCATTTTGCAGCAGCCGGATATCCGGTTATCCCGATTACCGACTTTCCCAAAATTTCAGGGGGGGCTGAGCCCCTCCCTCCCAACCCCCCTGTGGCTCCACCCCTGCTCGCCTGGTGGACAGGAGGTCGTGGATTCGACCCAAACCCTGAGGCCTGTATATTTTGGAGTTTGCATGTTCTCCCCGTGAATTTTTCTCCTGGATTTTTCCCTCCACATTTAGAAACAACATCACACGTTTAGAGTACCTGGCTGCTGTGCATTTCCACGTGATAAGCCCCTTTGTTCAGCTGCCATTTGTGATTGGCCAGGTCGCTTCTGGCAAAACAAAACATTTTTTTGGTTTTGGTTAGTTTGGTTGGCCTGCCGTGTCCAGAACGAGGGACTCGTCCGGGCCTCGACGCAGGAATGACCTCGCCTGGCATCAGCCTGCGTAGGAGGCAACGGGACGCGTTGACCCCACATTTGAACGACACAGGGCACGTGCAGCTCTTTCCTTCACACGCGGTTTGAAATGAAAGAGCTGGGTTGGCCGCCTGGTTGTGAATGTGATTAAGTGCGAACTCAGCCTGACACAACCGGCCACTGGAAACCACACAGCAGGTCACACAGCAGGTCACACAGCAGGTCACACAGCAGGTCACACAGCAGGTCACACAGCAGGACACACAGCAGGCTAACAGTAGGTCACACAGCAGGCTAACAGTAGGTCACAGCAGGCCACACAGTAGATCACACAGTAGGACACACAGCAGGTCACACAGCTGGTCACACAGTAGGTCACAGCAGGCCACACAGCAGGCTAACAGCAGGTCACACATTAGGTCACAGATCACACAGGACACACAGCAGGCTAACAGTAGGTCACACAGTAGGTCACACAGGTTACACAGCAGGTCACAGCAGGTCACACAGTAGATCACACAGCAGGTTACAAAGCAGGTCACACAGCAGGCTAACAGCAGGTCACACATGAGGTCACAGGTCACACAGCAGGACACACAGAGGGCTAACAGTAGGTCACACAGTAGGTCACACAGGTTACACAGCAGGTCACAGCAGGTCACACAGTAGATCACACAGCAGGTTACAAAGCAGGTCACACAGCAGGCTACAGAGCAGGTCACACAGCAGGCTAACAGCAGGTCACACAGCAGGATAACAGCAGGTCACATCAGGTCACACAGCAGGTCACACAGCAAGCTACAGAGCAGGTCACACAGCATGCTACGGAGCAGGTCACACAGCAGGCAACGGAGCAAACAACAATCCCAATTCAGTTTTTTTTTGTCCAGGTACAAACATCCTGGAGTGGAGCGGTGATACCCCGCAGACACTTCAGAATAAAATAACATTTGCAAAATAACCACTTTAGAAATGAATTGTCGGGCAATGCCCGATGCTTATGTCAAAAGCACATAATTCAAAAAGTTTGCAAAACAAACTTTGCCAACATTACAACATTCCTGCGAAGCAGCTTAAACACACGCTCCCCTGCAAGAGCCATCCATTGCACAACCCACGGACGCCAACACCACACGAATCAAGGAGTAAGCAACATTAAAACGTGAACCTCGTATAAGTTGCGTTTGTTGCAGGAATCCCAATGGTACGAGGGATGATGACATACGATTTGCTCTTCCACGACCGTCTGGAACGCTCTTCCTTCCGTTATTAGGACGCCACTGGAGCTATGCACTTTGAAATCATCTAGTTTGAAAGCTAATTTCTTCATAACTGCTTTTTGTGTTTAGTTTGTTGTCCTTCCCCCCCTCCCCCGCACCTCCGAAAAGCACGATTGGCTGTGTACGGTGCGAAAGAACGTCAGGACATGCATACACATAACGTACAGCTGAGCACGACGGTAGTATTATTAGTAAAACAAATATTTGTTTTCATATTATATTTACGAGTGGGCTTGGACAGGGCGCATCACGAGAATGTATGACGGTCGGTGGCTGACACAAACGGTGGAGTGGCAGCCAAAGCAGAAAAGATTTGCGAGAGGAGCACGACCACCATGGAGATGGAGCGATGGAAATCATCTCGCGTGCCGGTGCGCGGTGGATTACTACATCGCAGGACTGCGAGAGATGGTGGCGGATTGAGGCGCCCCCTTCACCCAGCAATGGTTTGACCACGGCTATATGAATGTTGAACTTCTTTTGCATCGTACGTAGCCAACCGTGCTAATCAGAGGTGCGGGGGAAGGACAACACATTAAACACAAAAAGCAGCTCTAAAGAAGTGAGTTTTCAATCTCAATTATTTAAAAGTGCACAGCTCCATTGTCTTGCTAATATGGGAAGAGCGTTCCTGACGGCCGCATAAGGGCATCTGAAAGCACGCGACGCATTGACCGTGTTCGATGAATAGCCAAAAGCCGCTGTGAGGATGACCGGAGTTTGGTACTTGACGAGAGCAGCAAGGCACCGTGGTTCATTTGTGGCGAGCATTTTGTGTGTAGTGAGTGGCTGATGATGATGATAACCAATGCATTATTTTTCAAAGTAGCCTCCTGTTTTAGAGACGTTTGTGATTTGGATGGAATTCACCGTGTGTGGCTCACAGCCACTCTCTTTCATGTACGTTCTATCATATATGTGCCATGGAATGTATATAAACACACACAACATCCACGTATACGTTTTTGCTTGTGCAATATTTTTCTGGAAGGATGCATAATATTAATTTCCCATGCTATTGAGTGTCCCAACTTTTAAATTGAATAAACAGAAATTATTCCAACAATATGCAGATGCAATCCATGCAGGGATTTTTTCCTTCTTAATGTAAAAACTATTTTTTTCACCAAAAACGCAGCGACTACAAAAAACACAGCTCCCAGCATCTGCCCAGAAAAACCCAAAAAGGTAGCCAACATTGAAAATGTACCCCAAACAACCATTTAAAACAAACAACGCAAGCTCCAAAATTAAAGTTTGTTGCTTTTTGCATCAACACAACTCACAATTGCCAAGTCTCAAAAATCACCAAAACCATTCCAGAACCCCGGTCAACGTTATTAAATATTCCTCTCCATCCGCTGCTCGATGAAGGCCGACCGCCAAAGCCATTCACCACCATCTCTCATGCCGTGCTGTGTTAATCCACCGAGCACCTACCCGCAATCCAATTCCATCGCCCGATCTCGCTCCTGGGCGAACCATTCTCTCGGATGCGTTCCACTCCTTGGCTGCAACTCCATCATTATTCTTGACCACGAGCCAACCATCCCCCTTCCCCCTCCTTTCAACATGCCCCTTTTGTTCAAGCCAACCTTCATTCCTCGAGTCAAAATGATTTCCTTCAACCCGTGTACATTTTCAAATCCGCGTGTGTCGTTATCTCTCAATGCAACTCCAACGCACTTTTCAGTTTGTTCCAAATGGTGTCCTACACAGAAAAAAATTAAACAGCACAGTCTGTTCTATCACGCGGTAGTAGTTGCGTCCCTGAAGTACACCGCGTTACAGAAAAATCGCGTTCTAATAAATTAAGTATAGGGTAAAGCAGTCCGCGATAACACGTGGCCAAAGACCGAGGCGCGTGGCGAGTAGCATCTCGAAGCATCCAGCAGCATCCCAATGCATTGCGTGACGCTACACCGGAGGCAGCCGTGCAACAGCTTATTCCGAATTGCGCGACGTAGTTCCGTTCACTCGATCGCGTCATACCAAATTTGCATCCGCGTTATAAAAAAAAGTTTTCTCCAATACATTCATCATCGCGTTATATCCAACTCACGTTGTGAAAACACGAAGCGCTAATAGAACAGACTGCACTTTCAAAAATCTCTGCACAGTTTGAGACGCTATAACCAGCATGCACTTACGGCCATCTTTCCCAACTGCAGCCAATCTCTGAAACAACATGAACGCTGAACTCTAAACATCTGCGCGTACAAACGCCAAGCCTCAAAATGGAGGCAAGAAAACATTGAGGCACTTACCTTGTAGTTGCGCTCAATGCTTCCTCCTTCAAACAGGGGGTCACAAGGCCCAAGCTAAAGACCACACCCATTTCCACCACAACCTCTCTGCCTGTGCAAAGCACAACACACAAAAGATTGCACCGCGGTAATTGCAAACACGTTGCCCCGACCCAAGCGCCCGACCCAAATATTGATGCGCCGAAATGTCGTTTTCCCGTCAGGAGTTGTTTCCCTCTCGACCCGAGCGGCCAAGCCACTCCAACCTTCTCACTCACCCAGCCGGGTGGGCGGCCCAAGCAGGGGGAACCACGGCCGAGCGGGACGACCAACCGCGCGCGGGAGGGTGGAGCGATGCCACGAAGGTCGTGTCTGTGCCTAGCGGCGAGATGGGACCGTGGCGCCACGGGACCGGCTGGGTTTGGCGGTGGCCGAGAGAAGGCCTTCAATCCGGCATTCGATAAACAAAAAACTAAAACACGACGAGGTACGCGGCGCTTTAATGGGACGGGAAGATTTTACGCAGTTTCAATCGCTTACAATGTACTCGAGGCCTCACTGCGAAGGTATATACGCTGCAAGTACATGACGCCGGCGCAATAATTTCCACGTAAAGCAAAGTGAACCAACCAAAGACACTGTGCATTTGCTTTTATTACAGAATATCCACGACACAAAAAATGTACAAATCTCGTTTAAACGGACAGATGCTTTCGCTATTCCGATGTGTGACGTCACGCACGTTTACTTTGTAAATAATTACATTTCTGCCCAACATAGTACAAAGGGAACGCTCTGTAACATAACATGCAGAAAATAAAAAATAAAAAAGGCAGATGCACAACGGCACATTGAAAACACACCATTTTATTACAAGAAGAAAATAAAATAAAAACATCTCGCAGCCGTCCCGAGAATTAGGTTAAAATAAAGCCCAGATGGTTCCGATTTCACCAGCCCCGGCCCAGGCCCACCCCCCGCCCGCCACCGCCGGTAGTGTTTTCACGTATGTGCAGTGTGCTGGTGTCACATTTCAATGCGGTACACTTGCCTACTGAACCAGGAGGGGGTAATGGGACTCGCAACAAAGCCACCGTATAATAAGAGTAAGACAACAAAACTCAACGCCGCACTGAATGAGTGTTAGGAAAAATAGAACGATGTCACGCTCATAAAAAACCACGTCGCTCTTACTTCCACCCCCCCCCCCCCCCCCCCCCCCGTTGAACCTCTGCAGTCTCCTTTTCAAGCGATGTAACGATTCATCTCTCCCACATCGAGTCGTTGAATTTGTGTCACGAAATCACGGTCGCCTTCCAATTAAGTAATGATGTTTTGTTTTGCGTCCCATTTTATTTTTTCTCATCTCTTTACTCTCATTGGTATTGTTTTATTTGCGTTTCGGTAGCCTCAATGTAAGAAATATGTAGATCATCTGAATATGGTTTGCAAAGGCAAAAGGTGAAGGTGCAGTAGCCCCCCGGCATTGGAGGGAGCTTCAGAAAAACCCAACTAACGCCTCGACTCTGGACAGAACCCTTAGAAGCATTCGGGGAATACCCACAGTTTACCCCACCGCACAGATCCTGACGATTGCCTTGTGGTGTTTCCATTAAAATGGTGGGGGGGGGGGGGGGGGGGGGGAATTAAGAAAATAGTTCCATTGGTCCAACTTCCACTCCGGAAGAAACAACTGTTACACCACACCAGTCGTATCCGGATGGTTTATATCATTTCACAGTTACAGAAAACGTAACTTCACACGCACTTATTGACATCTGTACACGATTTGTAAAAAAAAAAACAATAACAATACTGACAATGGTTAACCAATATTGCTAACCAACACAAAGCGCTTTCCAAAACCCAAGTTTAGACACGCTCATTTCACACACACGCACACATTATAAACGTTCAACACTATCACGACGCGCCCTGTGCCCAAGTCCACTTCCTTTACTCAACCGACACACCTCGGACCACCGAACGTTGCAAAAGCAGGACCTTTAGCGTGCGGCCGCTGTTGCAGACGCGCTACGGAGCAGGCCAGACCTGCGGCAGCGCCGGCGAGTGCTCCTTGCTCCGCAAGCGCTTGCGGCTCGCCACAAAATTCCGGAGCTGCTCCAGGGACTGCTGCCCCATCTCCACGATGTTGGCCCTCAGCGAGGCCTGCACGGAATTCTCCAGCGACGGGTCTTTGTCCACCAGCATCCTCACCACCGTGCAGAACGTCTCGCAGTCCTCCCGGTACGCCTACGAAAAGCAGTCACAGAACAAAGATGCGGATGCATGTTCGTCGTCATCATCATCATCGTCATCAGCCATGACTAAACTGAACTATCCGAGAGCCAGGTGAGTACCTCCTGATTATAATCCAATTCACACGGATTAGCGTGATCCTAATTGCTTGGCTCGCCTGCTTGGGGTTTAGCGACGATTCTCATCGATGGTTCTCATCGATGAGAATCGTCGCCGGCGCGGCTTCTCGATCTCCGTCTTCCCCGGCAGTATAAACTAAACATTTATTTTTATTTTTCCAGCTAGGGCCCACTGTAACCTGGCCACAAATGGTGGCTCAACGAAGTGGCTTATCACGTGGAAATTTACAGCAGCCAAAGAGAAGGGTTCCCTAAGCCGTCACTCTCTCATGATCCTGCAATACGCCCGATTCAGATGTTTCTGATGCAACGTGCTCACCACGTAGCACCTAAAGAAGCCTCGGCCTACTGTTGGAAATGAGCACGCTTAAAACTTTGCCTCCTGCACGCATAAACCTATGGGGCCAGTGATAAATATTTTTTTATGCGCCTCGATTTTATAGGTAGGACTACCTTTGTTTAATTTATATTGGAAAGTATTGCGATGCCCGCTTTAGCAGGGGCGAGTTTTTAGAAAAAAATTAATTGAATGAATGAAATGAATGATAGAAAACAAAGTGCCCCCCCATTTAACTCCCTGCACTAGGAGCCACGCCAACAACACTGACCCTCACGGCATATTTCTACTGACAGGAAAAAATTGCCGTTTAACACGTGGCGTTCACACTACGCGTTTTCGCTTTAACGTGCGTTGTCTTTGATGGAACGTTTCCGCTTAACGTGCACCGCGCTCGGGATATCATGAGTATAACGCGCGACAGACTACTCACTATGAGGCAGTCTCGCATGCGATGGACTACTCACTATAACCCGATTCTAGCATGTGACGGACTAATCACTGTAACGCGAATCTATCATGTGACGGACTACTCACTGTAACGCGAATCTAGCATGTGACAGACTACTCACTATGACGTGAGTCTAGCAAGTGACGGACTACTCACTGTAACTAGAATCTAGCATATATCTCTCTCGCTCACACTTCGTTATATTTAAATAAATGACTGTCACACATGGCATTTTTATAGAAATACTATATAAACACAACACGTTTAAAAAGAAACATGTTAAACAGTGCCCTGTCGAATAACAACAATGACAAAATTACGGGCTGGAACGGCACCCCCACCTTCAACGTTATTCCCTATGGGGAAATTACTCCCCGCTGAACGCAAATTAACTTTACGCAGACATTGTCAGGAACACAGCCCCTGCGTCAAGCGATGACTTGCCGTACACTTGTGCATCGCGGTTATCGGGACCAAATCTCCGCTGTGAGTCACGGCGTACAAAACACAATCTCTCTGACAAATAAAAGCAAGGTTTTACAAGCTCTGATCGCCAACAAGTACAACACATCTAGAGAAGGAGACGAAAGCTCGTGCTAAGTTGCCATAATAATCACATTCTTGGCTTGCCAACACTGGCGTCACACTTCTGAAAAAAGTGGCCACATTTCTGTCCACGCCAATGCCTGATGACAAATGATCTGTCATGCCGCCTGCTGCTCCGATGTCAAGTCCATATCTCCAAACAGTTACACGTTTGAAGCATTAGGCGCCTATGATCCGCTGCAAATGATGAACATCTCTAAGAAAGCTTCTGAGTGTAAAATAACACCACCACCATTTTCTCCCCTTGCATTCAGGGGAGTACATTTTAACTTCTTCAGACTTTGCGTTTTATCACCGTTCTGAACTGCATAGAACTGCACAAGTCAGACGATCATTAATCTCACCTATGGCAGTCACCAGACATCTGCCGACCTTTAGATACAGACGGCAAACACTTGCAAGGGTGTCCATGAAGCTATTATCAATCATTTATGCAATTATAATTTGAACTACGCGGTTGAAATACTTCCAATGTATTCCTCAAATAGTTAACTTTTTCGGTTCGGCTGAGAATCTCCAGAGTGAACCCTCAAACAGCGCGCGACAGAAATGCCATGAAACATAACTGAGACGTTGGCGACCACAAGACTCTTCAGATGTCGATGCAACATGTGTGTCGCCGATGACAAGGACGGAATACGGAAGTTTAGAGGAATGAGATAAAAATGTTCGTACCACTAAGTGTGTATGTAGTTGTGATGGCCTCCAGCTCAAATTGTTGTTTAATTTTATACAATATACAGCAATTTGTGAATCCAGTGCTGGATGATGGCCTCCCAAAGCGTGTCGGTCATGAGGTTGTTATTTATTCTGTACTTGACCACACCGGGCAGTGCGGGTTTGAGACGGGGGTGTGGGAGCCAGGACTGGTTCAGATCTCACTCGCCACTGACATTAGCCACAGTCGAGAATATAACTCCAGTTGCAAGATTTTTAGCGCAGTGTGCGAACATTTGTGAGACTGCTCCCCCTGGCTGTCTAATTAGAATTCTTTAATAATTGACTATGTATTTATTGACAATCTGTCGAGTTTGTTCTGGAGTCAAAGGCGTTCACACCCCCAAGCATCAACTTCATGATATTTACAAAGCAGAGATACCTTGCTGTAGAGCAACATTAAAAAAAACATGTTTACCAGGTAAGGCCCACTGCGCTATATAGCTTTTTTTCAGACGCGACCTTGCCACAAATGATAGCTAAATAAAGTGGCTTACGTGAATGTTCTTTTACATATATAGCAGCCAAATACTCAAAACGTATGCTGATTCTAAATGTGGAGGGAAAAACCGGAGGACCCGGAGAAAAATCCACGCGACCACAGGGAGAGAGACACGCACACTCCAAATACACAAGTGTCAGGGTTGGGATCGAACCCACAACCACCTGTATAAAAGGCAAGGGAGTTAACATCTCACCACGGCGCAGCACAAGCGGCTCCATATTTTCCCCTGCGTAGATGTTTAACACAGCCTCGCCCATCTCACATCTAATTACGAGAACCAACGCATAACGCTCCCTTGCCGAAGATCGCGCTGAGATGGTTTTTTTAGTATCCAAATAGAACGCAATCTCGAATCACTCCAGAGACGTCGGCCGCACTAGTCGGCCACAAACGAGAGGAGCCTTGTTGTTTAGGAAAGAGACACGAGTTCTCATATTTAAATGTGACCGCTCAGCATTGGCAGTTGGTGTTTTAACGACTGTGCATTCACACCTCCAATTAGCATGGTTGGCTACGTAAGGTGTGAAAGGAGTTCAACATACATAAAATTCAGCGGCAATACCTACAAAACACATCTTTGTGAGAATGTCATTAATATCTACTCAAAACACGCAAGGGAACACATGCACAACCAAGGATATTCATTGATACAAATAATCCATTAAAATGTGTGATTGAGAGCATGTACATGTGCACACCCCCTTGTAATTTAACTGCTGGATTAGGGCCTCTCCACACCGTGCAGCTTGCATGTTGGACTTTGTTTCGCACCGTACGTAGTGAACAATGCTAATCGGAGGTGTGGGGTGCAAAACGGGAGGTTGTGGGGGTAATTTGACCAAAACCTCACCATGGTGGTCGGTGCAGGTTGATGAAAGTTGGGCAGCGTAGGCGTGAGAGCAAAGAACAATACGTCAACGGTTTGCGGAACTGCCCTCTGCTGTCCGCAACTCAGCCCCCCACAGCCTATAATAACTGTTATGCACGGTGGTTGCCCATCCAAGCACTCTGCAGGCACACATCTGCTTAGCGTCGGAGATTCAATGTGATCGGGCGCATTCCAGGTGATTTGGTCACAAGCCTCAAGTGCATACCTTCATTAAAATTCTTTTAATGAAATGGTTCATTAAAAGCGGCTCTTGTTTGCGCAAGAATGCACTTCCTTTTCAAAAAGAGCAATTATTATTCGTGCATTAAAGACTGTGCATTTTCATTAATTCGGAAACCGCGGCGGAGCTGTTTATCTTCCCAAGAACCAACACCGTTAGCAAAACAGAACCAGACACCGCTCCTCTCTCTCTCTCTCTCTCGCTCTCCTAATGTACCCAAAAAATATACAAACCAAGTCCGTACAAATAATCGGTACACAAAAACGACTCGTGTGCATTGTTCCCGTGCCCAAAACCAACCCCCCCCCCCCCCCGCGCGTTACACCGTACACAGGGGGCTTGGATTCTGAGCAGATCGAATCGCTGCCGTGCATTCCAACCAACGGCAGCCGCACACCCTCTCTTGAACCCTGGCGATGGGCAAGCTGTAATTAGGGTGGTTACACACACCGGCAACCATCCGCACCCACTCCCACCCCCGTCCCCCCCAACTGTCCCTTGGCCCCACTTTCTAAACGGCAGCGGTCGGTCGTGCCAAGCGGATTTAGCCTCATTAAAAAAAGCTCCTCTCTGTCATCACCCACCGGCCGTGGAAGTCCAACTAATTAGACGACAGGGTGTTAATTTAGCGCTTAAACGGACCAGAAAAAATCTACCAACACGCACAAAACACCAGAAGGTGACCAAGGCAAGGACGCACAGATGCACACACGCACGCAAGCACACATACGCACACACGCACGCCCAGAAAGTAAAACCGCCATCATTACGATCGCCATTAGCCATGTTTAGGATTTCCAGAGCCCTATTAAAAAAACGGGTCTTGTCAAGATCGAGAAAACCAAAATATCTCGAGAACCTATCATTAACGGTGAAGTGCCCGAGACGGCCAACAATTTTATAGCGTTTCAGGTTTTTAACATGTCCCAGCGACAATTTACTGTACCTCAACGTTTTCTTTGGTACTTTTTTTCAGAGGCAAAAATCCGGTCAAAGGCAAGTCGTAACGGAGCCGTCGTTAAGTGCCTGATGTCAAACCGCAAAAAAAAATTGGGGAATTTTTTTTTCCGGTCAAAAAAGCAGAGCTCTACCGAAGGTGCCTTCCTTTCGCTTCCCCATGCTCGCCAGCGGCGTCTCGCAGGCTGAAAACGTCATTAGGAGAACGCCGCCGCAGAGGAACAGAGGTGCCGAGAGCAAGCCCTAGCGCTCCTATTCTGTTGTCGGGGTTGAAAGATGAGGCCCACAGGGCCCGACGGCGCAGACCTGCACATCGTCTGCACCGACGCCAAACTTGACTCTTCCACCATTGTAACGACTTAAACACAACTGCGTGGCCAAAGTGGGTACGACCGCGGCAAGTTTTCCCCTTTTAACCGTGGCTTTTCTCTTTACACATGTATACACACAGCCCTTTGACCAAAGCACCCCAGGAATGCACCCGATCCTCAACCTGAATACAAAGCAATGGCAACCGAAACACAACTCAATTTCGTCCGATGATCGTAAGACACGCAACACATTAAAAACAAAGCGATTACAATAACAGTTGTCCGTACAGTAGTGTGTGACCTAATATTTAGCAAGGAGGGTTGAACTTGGATAGTGCTGATATGGATGACTACTGAGAGCAAGTCGTTATAGGCTGCGGGGCTATATGGTCGGCAGTGCTATCAATCACTGTACTATACTTCTATGCTCCCCTGTGTTCCCTGCCTTCACCAACCCGCAATGACCCGCCTGGTGTAGTACAGTCAAAGTGACTCGCAACGACGCGCAGTGCATGGCGAAGCCCTTATCCAGCCCTGGAATTGAACAAACACTGGCTACACATGTCCGTGTGCATGCTATGTACATGACAAGACGGATTCAAACCTCCACCCCTAAACAGCTGCAATCATTTTTGAAGCGGCATTCCTCCTTTAAGTGCACATTACACAACCGCGGAGGAAATAGCGTGCGTTTTTGCGTAATGCAGGTACACAAGAGGGGGCATTATTATTTCGCGGGCGGCTTCACCGACAGCGCGACAGTCAAACCCGTTTGCAGACCGCAGAGGCGCCCACCTGCTCGATTTCACGCCTCTTCTTGAGCACCTCTTCGTCCACCGTGTCCAGGTGCTTCTCGCCCTCCGGCTTTTTCACACCTTTAAACGCACAGGCACACGCACACACACATGCAGCCCGAACAGGCTGTTGGGGCAAGTCTGTTTGTTGTTTGCGTGCACCTATGGAGGCTGGGCACGGAGCATGAGGTGGTGGTGCGGTGAGCACTACGCTCGGCCACCTTTTTCTCCAAAGTGACGTCGTTTACACATGGCTCCAGGTACTCATTTAAGGCCGAGTCGACCTGGGGGAGACCCGAGACCAGTTCAAATAGTCACACATGTTACCAGACATCGAAACTCGCGTGGCTGAATGCGTAGCGCAGTTCGCCAAGCCACTATGCTACCACTCTTTGTCAAGCGTGCGCACGCACACACACACAGCCAGGCGGACTTAATGTGTTACCCAAGTGAGAGCCCCCATTGAGACAAGTATCTATTGCAATGTGTGTGAACCTTAGGGTGTGGCCATTGAATGACAAAGCAGCAACTATCGCGGTGCAGAAAAATTAACTGCATGGAGGCAAAAAAATTATAATTAAAGGATGTGACGAAAAATGTTATCCTTTGGTTGTCACCCATCAGAGCATTATCCAGGCTCTATCCTTGTTAGCTTCCGATATCTGAAGAAATGGGGCACGTATACATGTGCTAAATAAAATACAAATTTCATTTTAATTTGTAAATATATATTTTTATACGATTATAGGCATGTCATCAACATTAGCAGCCACAATGTATCTACTGCTTGAGGAGGATTTTCCCAAACTACCGCTCTCCCTCAAGGTCTCGTGATACAACAATCCATCTTGCAGCTGTACGCGGTGGCTAGATATTAACTACCTCGCCTGGTATGTAGGATGCATGGGTTCGATCCCGACCCTGACACCTGCTGTATATTTGGAGTTTTCGTGTCTCTGCCCGTGGTCGTGTGGATTTTTCCCCTCCACATTTAGAATCAACGTGCGTTTGGAGTATTTGGCTTCTATACATTTCCAAGTGATAAGCTACTTCATTGGGCTACCAATTGTGGCGAGGTTACTTCTGAAAAAGGGCTATAAATAGCTCAGTGGGGGCCTTACGTGGTAGAAGAAAACTAAGTGTAGTTTAGTAATGCACGTCAACTAATTTCATCATGCCATCTCCACAAAGACCACTCAGGTGTGTTCTCTCCTTTGGCTGCCACTGTCATGAGTCTTGACCACCAGGACATTATCTCTCCTCGCGACGTGTCTCCTGCCGAAACCCTCGTACGTTCCTTGACAATGCGATGTCTCTAACGTGCTTATGGTCTCTCGTGCAAGTGTTCCTGTCTCTCAGATCATTGCAAGCGTGCAACCTCTCTATGCTCCTTTGCACGCCATTCAGCTTTTGTTCAATCTTCTTTTGTCAACACATCTATATTTCCGATCGTTGTCATAGCAGGTAATAAACAATTATTCAAAAGAATTGTGCCAACAGAAGAAAGTTTTTTGTTTATTGTATACTGTCAGTTTTTTTATCCATTTCATAGCAGATAATAGCCATTATTTAAAACAATTCTTTTACAGGCACAATGCATGTATCACAAGCAAAATATATCAAATTTAGCCCGTGAACCAACACATCTTCAGAGGCCACGTTGACGTCACCGGCCACCGAATCTGTATTTTTAAGGTGAAACCAAAACTGCGCACTCACTCATCGCTGCAGCCTCCGCGTCTCCGATGCCGACGGGCGGAGTGGCCACGCTCGAGCCAACCGCGCCATCCGAAGGCCCCGCCGGTCCCACGGAGGCCTTCTTCTCCAAACGCGCCGCCGCCGGCTCGTCAGATGAAGGCGAAATCTCCGCAAAGCCGCCCCGACAAAGCGGCTTCCCTACACCGCGCACAGCGGGAGAACTCAGGGAATCCTGCTGCTGCTGCTGCTGCTGCTCCTGGAGCACCGACGACAGGAAGGGAATCCCTCCGCTCGCCCCCGCTGCCGCCAAACGCTTGCCGCAGTTCCATATCACCGGCTCCGGAGGAGCACCGCCCGCAGCGTCCGTGGCCGGCCTGCCTTCGCGCGGCTTTCCAGCGACGCTGCTTTCGGCAAATTTGACTCGTCCCTTGTCTTCGTCGCCCTTCGGGCCAAACTTCTGGAGGAAGGTAGGGCTGAACGCCTCATTCGGGTGGTCCTTGGGCACACCGTTGGTGGAAAACGACAGGCCCACGCAGGCGTCCGCGCCGACCACCATGCCGGCGAGGTTCGTCCTTTCCGTACAATCTGACGGCTTAGGGGAAGCGTTCTTAACCGCCGCCACCGCCGCCTGTGTCACCGCTGAAGAGACGACCTCCTCGGCGGCCAGGCTCGAGTTGCTCTGTCCGCTTTGCGTTGGTGGCTGTGCGGCATCGAGCACCTGACACACACAGATGGCAAAGGGGGGGGGGGGAGAATGAGCGGCCAAGAGTTTACAAAAAACCATGAGAGGTCTTTTGCAAATAAAACCATCCAAAACCATAAAAATAACGTTCCAATGGCAATGATTAATAGTATATAAAGCATCTATATGCAAGCAAATCTCAAAATACACTTTATAAAAGTAAACAATAACACATTGAGGTAAAAGGGGGATCGTGGGGTGGAGGTAAAACTATTTTACATGTTACCAGGTAAGGCCAACTGAGCTATATAGTTATTTTTTAGAAGCGTCCTGGCCACAAATGATATCTCAACGAAGTGGCTTATCGTGTGGAAATATATAGCAGCCAAATACTCGAAACGCATGTTTCAAAACGTGGAGGGAAAACGGGAGGACCCGGAGAAAAATCCACGCGCACACGGGGAGAACATGCAAACTCCAAATATACAAGCGTCAGGGTCGGGATCAAACCCACAACCTCCTGCATACCAGGCGAGGAAGTTAATATCTCGCCACTGGTGGGTAAAGGCAGAGAAATATGAAAGATAGGAGTGCCGAACTGCAATGTGGACTGGCACCAACACCAAGTTTCAGGGACAGCCAAGGCAGCGATGGAACCTTCTCATACAGGAATACAACCTTCTAATCTTTGCTAATTTGTTCAGCGGGCAAGTGTGCCGAGCACAGATCTCAACCGGGTCAAGTGCTGAAGTCGCCCTGTAAAAAATGTGAAAACCAGGGCTTGCACAAAAATATATTTTTTAAATAGATACATCATGTGAATAAAAACACTCAGGGTAACAGCAAACCTTTACTGACATAGGTGTACAAATTATTTAAGAGTAATTCAGCAAATATGCTTTCGAATAACTTTTGAAAACTAACTTTTCTCTCAATGCCCTGTTATTCTTAGTCATTAATCTATGAATATACCAAGCAGTGTCCTCTCTCAGTGGACGCAAGACGTATCAGACGTCGGCTCACCTTGGGGGAGGCCGACGGGCTGCGGAAACCAAGTTTAGTTTTCGGCGGTTCCGCAGATTTTCCTGAAAAAGAAAAAAAAATCCACATTAATCACTCATTTCAAATTGGGAAAATGTGTGACATTCAAAACACACAGTTAAACTGTAACTCAAGCGTAGCCGCTTGACATCGTGTGCCGATCGGGTGTGCTCCACAAATTCACTGCACGTTCTGGCAGACGAGGGGGGGACGGGGGGGGACAAGCTGAATAACTTCCCAGATGTTTTTTTTCTCTTCCCTTCTATACATTCAAGCACATTTATAATTCTCCAAATAATTAGATATATGGTCCAGGTTTCTCTGCAGATTACACCCTGATAGAGTTTCCAGACCTCCCCGTGCTTTCACCTTCATTATTTCCGAGCCACGGAGTGAAACTGTCTGGAGGTAAATAAAACGAATGGCGAGGAACTCCAGCTGAGCGTCGGACCTTTCTCGAACAAAAGCTCCAAGCGACCGGTCGGGCATCCGGCTCTCACTATAAAACCAGCTGGTAACTACATTCTTCATTCTCGAGCCCGCCTCATCCCTCCCGCAGGTGATGGCAATAAATCAGGGACATCGGCAAATTCTGCAGAAGAAAAGGGGGAGCTTTGACGTCCTGTGTGGCTTTTGTTCCAGACATTTACTGTCAGCCGTGTTTTGTAATTGGAGAGGACAGCCACAATAAAGTTGAGAGGATGGCAAAAAAAAGGCTAAAGGAAATCAAAAAAAAAATTCGAGCAAAGCAATGTTGATAAACGCCTACAAAAGTCGGGGCAAAGGTTAAACTTTAGGGTCAACGACGATGCATTATCATTAAAGTGGTGTCACCTATCAGCCATCAGCAGCACTTTGTTCCCATCGACCTCCAGAGTCTCATGGAACTTGGCTGCCAACGGAACATGACTCCAATCTTTCACTTAAAACGTAAGTTAAATTATCTTTGCGGTTTTTAACTATTACTGATATTTTTCAATTTACATTTTCCAAAGTATGCCCACTATCACTGGGCCATGCATCTAAGTGCAAATAAAAAAAGGCCAACATGTCAGTGATACATTTTTACGTTGATTAATGCTCACGCATACGTTGCATGAAAAATGTGAACTCACTTCGAGCAGCAACACGGATCACAGATGTGAATTCCATCTTAACCCTCCGCCTGCCGCTTTATTATCCGTCCATCGACACACCGAAAGACGATCTCCCTTCAAACCTCGGAGTTTTTTTTTTAAGTTAGCAGCTAAGCCTAAACATTTGTCAATGATGCATGTGAAAATAAAAAAAGGACAAAAACTACTGACGAAAACCTGGAATTCGACGTACAGCACGTCGCCGTAAATCAAGAACTGTTTTATAAATAACCCTCCGGGTTCAACACTCCTGTGAGCAGCTTCTAAGACGGGGGTCTGCTCACGTAACCCTTCGAGGGCACATGCACCTCACCGCCAAAGCTGCCACCTGGACTCTGGCTCGCCTGGTCGCAGTCGCACCAAGTAAACCAAACGGCTTCGTGCCAGTCACGTGACAATCAGTCGATTCATCATTCAAGATCAAGGTCATCAATTACGGTAACCGCAAAGCAAAAAATTAAACTATTAAAAACATTTAAGCCGGGTTTTCCACACAGATCTAAGGATCTAAAAATGAAAAACCCAGGCCGTGTCTCGTGTCTAGCCGAGCATGCCATGCAGGGACTGAATGGTGGTGCACACAACGGCTGCTGCTAACGAATCACGCTGGAACACGCCGTGCAGTTTGAACATTCACACATGCCAATCACACCGAAGGTGACTAACATCTTCCCCGTTTCAACTATCGATTCGGAATTGATCATCAATTAAAAAAAAAATTACAAAAAATCTATATTTTGTATTATTCAAAATAATAATTTCAATATCATGTATCAATATAACATTTAATGTTAAACAACTCTACTCAAAATCAATTCTTATGGTCACGATACTTGTATCGGGCCCATGTGTCCAAATTATTTTCATTGTATACACTGCACGTAATTGATTCAGGAAATCACCACAGCCCCCAAAGGTTTTAAATTCACAATGGAAAATAATTAATTCTGAAATAATGGTGCTTTCAAATTGTAACAATTAATTGAATCACTGGCAGGTTGAGTTGGAGGGGGGATGAATTATTACACATTATTACACACCTGCTGAAAATTATGATGCCAAATATTTACCCAGGAAAACCTCCTTTGAGTATCAAGATCTTTCGGGATAATCCTGCATTGGGATATTTGGTCAATGCAATTTCCGATGGGGGGACAAATCAATACATTCTCACTTTGATTTAAAGCTTTCGTGACTGCAGGGATTAATATTCTTGGTTCTTTCCCTTCTACGTGACTTTACCGAAAGAACCAAGAATATATACATTCTCACTTTGCCTAAAAATGCAAGTAACCCTCTCATCACTGAGAAGGCAAGTACTAAATAGACACACACCACCACCACCACCACCCCACCACACCTTTGCTCTGCCTGGTGACAGTGTGCGGCTTCGGTGAGACACCCACAGCATGGCCCGCGGCTGGCAACGTCGACCCGTACGCCTTGGGATGCGCCAGCAGAGGACTCCTCCTCTTGGGTTCCGGCTTGGCAGGCTTCAACCTCCCGGGAGCATCGTTCCATTCCGTGAAACTCGGGCGGCCCTGGAAGTGCGGCGGCGGCGGCGGCGACACAGACCGCCTGTCACCAGCGACGCTGCGGCCCCCGGGCAGCAGCGGGGGCAACCGCTCCCGCTCGTAACTGCGACCGCTCATCCACCTCCCGGGCTCCGGCTCGTACGAGTCGTTGTTCGGCGAGTAGCTGCGGCGCCGGTTATCGCCACGCTCGTGGGGGGAGAAGCTGCGGTCTCGCACACCGCCGCCGTCGTCGCCACTGCCGCCGCGAGCCGCGTTGCGCACAGTGCGAGCGTCGAAGGGCATCGCGCTGGATGGCGTGTTGTTGGCCCACGGCCTGCCACGAGGCATTTGGTGGCGGTAGTGGTCTCGCTCACTGCGGTAAACGAGGTTACAATGGAAAGACGGGATTTTCTTGTGTTAAGTAAATCGTCATCAGATACGATTAATAACACTGCCGGATGAAGACCTTCTCAAGACGTCGCTGTATTTCATGGTCCACCCAATGTGCATGGAAGGTCGAATTCAAACGTTAATTGCATTCAAATGTTTATGGTCACATTCAAATTTTATTACATCGCTCAGTCTCTACGGTTGATGTCCTTTCAAGGGTTTTTCCTCCTTTGGTCTGCCGCTGTCATCTCAACCACTGGGAATTATCGCTGGCCAAGACGCGTCTTTCTTCAAGGCCAGTTACTTTTCGTTGAATAGTAAATACATCTCTAACTTGCATACATTCTCGAATCCATGTGTTGCTGGTTTTGTCTCTCAGTGCAATTCACAAAAAGCTACTCTATTTAATGTTGTTCATTTTCATTCAATACAGCAGCTCACAAACATAAATATGATGTCCTGTATATGCAGTAATCAAAATAACAATTTTTACATAAAGTTTCTACTGATAACCAATTATAACTGTAAAATACCATAAATATTAACTTTAACCACATTAGCACACATTTGATAAGGTTTATGTTAGAAAATAAACATCGAACCTCAGTGAGGGTTCACCTTGCGAATGAAATATCGGTTTTAAATACCATATATAATTAACAACTTAAGGTTGCGACGAAACCCACCAGCTTTTTGGGGCCATCAATTCCAAAACACGGCACACAGTAGTTTAAAAACCACAGCCCGGCTTAGCGCTCCAAATGCAAATAACTGCATCTTGACCACAACGTACTGTAAATATTGGTACAGATTTAGCAGTGATCCCTTTAAAATGTCGCCAAACCAGCCACGGCAGGCTTCAGACGCGAAAAACCCAAGGCAAACATTGTCTTTCAGCGGGGTGCACCAGGTCACTGCCACATCTCCCCCTTTTTGCAGAGCATTCCTCAAATTCTTTGGACATCTTGGAGACCCCCGCCACCGTTGACAGCAGGGCAGGAGGGTGGAAAAAGAGAAGAAAAAAAACGAGAGGAAAAAGTGGCAGACGGGCTAAAGCTGCTGACAGTGGTGCATAAGAAACACCGCGGAGATGTGGGTGGCAGATTTCGGGACGACAAAAAAAAAAGGCTGCGTTTTAACCGCCACTGAAAAATAAATCCCTGGACGTGGTGCCTAAGCCGCTGCAGTTTGTTAAGCATGGCGAGACAGACTCTGAGCTAAAACACAAACGACAAGGGAAAGTCTTGGTCAATGAAAGGACTTCATATACCAGTTGAGCGCACTGTGAGAAAAAAAAGGGAACTTAAGCAGTCTGTCCCTATGACCAAATCACCAGGAATGCACGTGATCTCATCAGCTCTCAAAAGCTAAGCAGATTTTGAGCCTGGAAAGCACTCGGATACGTGACCATCGTGCGTAACATGTTATTGTAGCCTGCAGAGCTGCAGGGTGGGCAGCAAAATCCATCGCTGTGCCGTATTTATAACGCTGCGACATCAGTGCTCTCCGCCTTCATCAACCAGCACTGACCAGCGTGACGTTCGGTCAAACAACACCCATAACCCGCATGGCATGGGGGAGGGCCCTCATCCAGAAGTGACTTGACAACAGGGCTGTACGTGTACAGCGTGTCATTGTCCAACAAAGTTGAACAGCCGTGGCTCTTTCTGCAACATTCTTTGTTCGAGCGCGAAATTCTCAACCGTACCCTTTGGCACAGCCGTTTGGGATCGAGGGACGCCCAGGAATAGCTACACAGTACCCAGGAAATGCTTTACACCGTAATCCCATGAAAGAAACATTTCCCTGACTTACAACCAAAGGAAAATGTACAGTTTTTTTTAATTCCAACAACTCATTTCACTGTCCAGCCGTGCAACCCGCGACAGCGAAACGCTGACTGCAACGTACATGTTGCATACGTCCCTGTATTACCAAAAAAAAAATCACACAAGGCCACTCTTTACGATAAAACTATTTTAAGTAAAAACAGAAAAGGGGTTCTATACCTAGTGTAAGGTTAATCAACAACTACGCAACCCAAATTACATTTGCAGGGCTAAGGCCAGAACGGGAGGCCAGAAAGCTCGAGCCAAGGCAATTAAGCTAATTTCAGCGTGTTTACGTCTGCTTAAATCCAACAGTCCCGGCTTGTATCGCAGGTCCAATCTTTGCGCGCCATACTACCGTAATGCCCTTCAACGGGGAGGGGGGGGGCAAAAGGTCAGTTGTAATCTGCTGAACAAAGTGAGGAATTCACACAACCCCCAAAAATCGCCTGGATGGAAAAAAATGTCTTCAAAAGGCAATAACAAAAATGGGGGATAAAAAGGAGCGTATTCATACTAGGCCCCAGAAAATTTTAGGCGGCGGTGAAGGTGTGGGTAAGATGTTGGATTCACATCCCAAGCTCAGTGAATGCGGTCTGTGGTCTGTACTACCGAGCAGACAGACCTTAGAGGTCACAAGCAGTGACATTACGTCGAGTGTGACTAGGCCAGGACTTCACACGAAGCATTGCGCCTTTACTGACATTTTGGAATGGGGACAATTTAGTCCTAGTAAAATGAAAATTAATGCAGTTTTGATATTTTGACAGCGAGCAATCCTGTGAATTGTAGGACTTAAAATTGGCATCCAATAATTATATTGTTAAATAAATTGCAACGTTTGCTCGTAAAAAAAAGTGTACTTCAACAATCCAGCATGTTCATGACCCTTAAAATTCAACTTATAGAGTTAGTCCCTCGGTTAACGTTTTTAATCCGTTCCACGAAAACTAATGTTCACCGAAATAACTGTTAATCAAATATAGGAATTACTTGTTAAAAGCTTTAACCCGTTCCAAAACAATCGGAAATTGACCTTTTTAACCCTAAAAAACATAGTTTATAACATTTAAACACTCAACATTCATACACATTATAAGAACATATCGAAAAGGGTTCGTGTTAATGGCAACATAGTTAAACAATGAATAAAGAGCATGAACAAATTCTTACCTAACCACACTTTTGATCTCAGTTCTCTTCTTACACCTTCTGAAACACCCCTTGCTTGCCTTAAATTCTTTAAACAATGAACCAGAGGATTGCGGTGCTTTGCGTTTTAGGTTTTCAAAGATCAATCTCGCCCCCCACAAATGGTTAAGCTATCTACAGACTCACCTCGCATTTCCGTTTCCCGAATCCACATCATTAGCATTTCTAACATGATTTCCCTACCTTTGAACATCCTGGTCGAGGAATCCATCACATTGGTAGCTTTAATTGTCCGTATTTTGCAAAATTGTAAAAATGGTCGATTGGGTCAAGCCTAACTCACTCATGAGTACACTGATTTTTACCCCTTTTTCATGCTTATCAATAATTCCCTGCTTTGTTTTAAGGCGAATTACTTTCCTCCTCCTCTTTTTCCTTTTGCAAATTCACTTTAGGGGCCATTGCAAACAATATAAATTAACTTAAAAGTTGAAAAATAGGTAAAAATCACCGCGTCTGCAAGAGCCGTTTCCACTGCCCAAACAGAAAACAATGTAAACAAAGCCAGTCGAGATCTAAACGCTCATCAGTGGGTGTCCCTGATTGGCTGAGGCATGCTCAGCCCACGTACGAGCGCTGGGATTGGCCGAAATTGGCGCCAGCGTGCATAACGTAAACAGACCGTTCATCAAAATATTAACGTCAGTCGAAACCATGGGGGGGTCCTATTGGAGACGAAACGTTCACCGAAAAACCATTAACCGATGTCACTGTTGACTGAGGGCCTACTGTACACACAAAGATGCACTTGTACTGCTATTAAGTTTATCAGCGGCAGCCTTGATTTATCCACTGCTGGATGAAGGTCTCCCCGAGCGGCAGCAATCACTGCGATGTAACGATCCGTCAAGCACCTGCACACAAGCTGATATAATTGCTCCATCTCCATGTAAAATGCCCTCACAGGTTTCTTTCCATCACTCAGTTGCTGGGTCTCGATGTATTTTAAAAAAATATATAGATGAAACACATTTGATAAAAACGTATACGACATTTATTGCAGACCTACTCATAAATAACATCTCGATCCAGTGTATCTGAGTACTCTATGTATAAAAACACAAATTACAACGATACCGTTATTCGCAAAGTCGGTCTTCATGGTTCAGAAGATAAAATGGAATGATACACAAAAAAATTTATTCAATTGTGTTTTTAAAAAAAGCACATTTGAGAAGATTAACAACAAAACGTTCAAATGTGTGTTTCAAAACGTGGCAATTAATCAAAACAGTTTAAGCGGAATGACAAAAAAAATAAATCCCAGCATGCCCACCCAACGCTTGTCATCATTGCTCAGGGTTTGTTGCAGGGAGGTTCCTCTAATTAACTTAAACAAATGTACCGTTCATGTTTGTTTTAAAATAATAAATACATTAAGTAAAAATATTAAACATCTGCCTTGGAATGTAAGTGGATTGAGTCGGTGTTTACAATGAAGTTTTTGTAGCTCACACGCTTGTTTTTGTTACATTTTATTGGTATCATTTAGTTTCAACGAATTTGTGTTGACCTCAAGAGCATTTGTGCAAAATATTACGTCGCAAAATTACTTACGACATACAGAGGAACGTTTTGAAATTGCTATTTAATGCATCTGGCAATTGTGACTTCCAGGAGAATCAAAGTCTGTACCATGCCCCGTCTGTTATCTGCGTCTGCCACCTAGTGGCGAATCGTGTTAGAACAAAACATTGCCAATGGGAAGCTATAAAACATTAAACGTCATTCACAATAAAATCATCATCATTAAGCATTACGATTCATATAATTTTCAACATTCACGTCTGGCCAGAACAAAGCGATCAGGTGGCAAAGCGGTACAGCAAACAGATCGCCATCGAAGGGTTGGGAGTTCACACCCTGGTTGGGGGACTGACTCAGGCAATCAGCCTTGAATGGGGTCGATATACTGGGCATGACTTTCTGTGGTTGCTCTATAGATAAGGTGGGCCCCCCACCCACCCATGGCAATGTGGAATTTCCACGACTGGCTCAGAGCTTAAATTTTGATATAAAGCTTTCGTGACTGCAGGAATTCATATTTTTGGTTCTTTCGGTAAAGTCACGTAGAAGGGAAACAATAAAATAATACAAATATATCTTTATAATTTTATTGTTTCCCTTCTACGTGACTTTACCGAAAGAACCAAGAATATGGCTCAGAGCTGTAAGCAAGAGATGGACACCACCTTATTCCGGGGTTAAATTACTTTTACTTCGTTATTTTACGAAAATAAGAGTGACAATGCAAATTGCGATGATATGCATGAGACAGCACAGGTGGGTGAAACAGCACAGATAAAACAGTACAGACGAGACAGTCGGTACAGAGAGCGGTAACAGAGGCAAAGACAGTGTAAAGAAGGGTTTCCCAAACTCCAGTACCACGTGACATGCGCCAAGCGGTTAACGCTTCCGCTTCAAATTAAGCTTGAGATCTGTGTGTGCACGTGTGTTCCGTGTCTGCGTGTACACGTGTGTTCTGCGTCTGCGTGTACACGCGTGTTCCACGAGACGCGGGTAGCGCATCGTCGTGTGGGACGTGTTTAATAATTATCGAGCGTGTGTGCAGTGGAACTAGTTAATTTCTATTTGAATAGGAGTAAATTGGTAAATGCAGAAAGATGTCGCGTGGCAGGTTGCGAGGACTGGCATTTGGGAAACCATGGTATAACGAAAACAATCCAGGTGAGGCAGTACAAACAAAATAGGATTTCGATTTAAAGCTTTCGTGACTGCAGGGATTCATCTTCTTGGTTCTTTCGGTAAAGTCACGTAGAAGGGAAATAATAAAATAAAACTTAATGTGTTGTGGCCAAAACGTTGTGAGAATTTTACTTTATTATGTTTTATTTTATTATTTTATTATTTCCCTTCTACGTGACTTTACCGAAAGAACCAAGGAGAAAAATAGGATTTGTTTATTGAATCCAATCGTGACTCTAAACTGTGGAAATTCAGACTCCCGGTGAAGGGAAGGGTGAATTGTTACATACATGTCAATTTAAAGCGACCAATTTTTTTGGGGAGGCTCAACCGGGGACACACAGCGAGCTGGCAGCCCCATCCCTGAGTCAACCGGGCCCCCTTTTATTTCAGGAGGAATTCGAAGAGCTACAAATCTATTTTCAAAGATCGTTAGAGGTCTGCCAACACAATGAGTGGCCTGCACACATTTTCAGATGTTTACCCTGCCTGCCCTACCGCTCTGGCCCCACCAACTCTTCTGACAACCCTGCCCCGCTATCCAGATAGCCCTGCCACCCTTTGCCCGTATTATGAATCGTTCTAGAGGAGAGCATTTTTAATTGGGTGGGAAAATAAAAAAAAGTTGCAAAACTTCGGAACAACGGGGAACAGCCTTTCAGAACCCAAGGCTCGCCCAGCCAAGCCGGCATGTTTGGTAGCTTTATGGATACATTTTCACTGACCTGTATTCTGGTGCACGACTTCCTGAACGTCTCTCCCACTGTCGGTGGCCGTCCCAATCTTCTTCGCACTAAAGATTAAAACAAAGCAAACGGCAACTATTAATTTTAAAAAGTGTGTCGTACAAAAATGTTCAAAACACGTGCAGTCGTGACTAAACAGACATGACATGCATGAGAGTAATATTTATGAACATTTAAAAAAAATATTACCCTGTAGCAGATTGAGGAACCAATGCACGTGCTTGTACGCAAACAAAGGTTACAAGAGTGTACCTTGCAAAGAAGATAATACATCTCAATAGGTTCACACCTGGATAAAGAGCAATGAACTAAAATGATTTATGCGAAACATTAGCAAAGCTGAAATGTGGTGCCAGACACTTGCATGCTGCCTAGTAACACCATTATAAGTTGTGACTTTCCAGAATAAATACATTAAAGAACAAGGGAGGCATGCAAGACAGCTTGGGTCACGTCTCCCCGCTGCTCTTATGACCTCTGATAAGTCGCTTAACATGCTCGGGTGCTGAGTCCATGATTTTTCCATGAGTATGCCCCTGACCTGACTTGACAAATCTGTCGCCATCATCAGTCTGAGCCACAGTGGTCTTGCCACACCAGTTTCATATAAACCTTATATTTGTAGATGTGTGAATAAAGCAGATCGGGGTAGAGACACATATAGAAAACTCCAAGACAAATATATAAGTATCTCCCTGCAAAATAAACCACTAATTATCTTCAGCCCATCCCCAAAAGATGTTCCAGGCTGTCGCACTTGGTAGGGCAACAATGCAGGTAGAGAGGGGTCCTGCTTAGGGGGAGCGGGAGCGTAACGGTTAGTGCACTGCACTACTAACCCGACAACCCGAGTTCGATTTCCACTCACGACAAACATCAGTGACGATTATGTATGTATGTTGAACTTCTTTCAGAATCAGAAAGGGTTTTATTCGCCATGAAAGTTCGCACAGACAAGGAATTTACTTTGGCAGGAAGGTGCATACATTCAACATATAGGCATCTTAAATCTAAAATAAGTAGTATACAAGTCTGACTATACTAAAGGTACAAAGTCTAACTAACACTAAGGGGCAAAAGTATGTAAAATTTTGAATAAATATTGAATATAAAGTAGCTATAAGATACAATCTAAAAATACAAATAGGGTAACATAGTGTAAATATGGCAAGGTGTCATTTTGTAGATAAAATGTTAAAGTCAGTGTAAGCCCTTGGCCTTGTTGAAGAGGCCAGCAGTGGATGGGAAGAAACTGTTTTTGTGGCGTGAGGTTTTGGTCCTGATGGACCGCAGCCTTCTGCCAGAAGGGAGTAGCTGGAACAGAGAAGTATCCAGGGTGGGAGGAATCGGCCATAATCTTCCTCACTTGCCTCATGGTCCTCGAGGTGTGCAGGTCCTCGAGGGTTGGTAGATTGCAGGCAATCATCTTCTCAGCAGTGTGGATGATAAGCTGCAGTTTGCTCTTGTCCTTGGCAGAGGCAGCAGCGTACCAGACGGTTATGGAGGTGAGGATGGATTCAATGATTGCTGTATAGAAGTGCACCATCATTATCTTTGGCAGGTTGAATTTATTCAGCTGCCGTAGGAAGTACATCCTCTGTTGAGCTCTCTTGGTGAGGGAGCTGATGTTCAGTTCCCACTTGAGGTCCCGGGAGAGAATAGTGCCCAGGAAGCGAAGGACTCTACAGTTTTGACTGGGGAGTCGCACAGGGTGATGGGGGTGAGTGGGGCTGTATTCTTCCTGAAGTCCACAACCATCTCAACTGTCTTTAGAGCATTTAGCTCTAAGTTGTTCTGGCTACACCAGGTCACCAGGTTGTCAGCTTCCCACCTATAGTCAGACTCATCCCCACCAGAGATCAGCCCAATGAGGGTGGTGTCGTCCGCAAACTTCAAGAGTTTGACGGACAGAGCTGTTGGTGTACAGGGAGAAGAGCAGTGGGGAAAGGACGCAGCCCTGAGGAGTTCCGGTGCTGATGGACCTGGAGTCAGAGACTTGTGTTCCCAGCTTAACGCACTGCTTCCTGTCAGACAGGAAGTCTGTGATCCACCTGCAGGTGGAGTCGGGCACGTTCAGCTGGAAGAGCTTGTCCTGAAGCAGGGCAGGGATGATAGTGTTGAAGGCAGAGCTTAAGTCCACAAACAGGATCCTGGCGTAGGATGCTGGGGAGTCCAGATGCTGTAGGGTGAAGTGGAGGGCCATGTTAACTGTGTCATCCACAGACCTGTTAGCTCTGTAGGCAAACTGAAGGGGGTCCCCAGGAGAGGGTCTGTGATGGCTTTGAGGTTTGTCAAGACCAGGCGCTCAAAAGACTTCATTACCACAGAGGTAAGGGCGACCGGTCTATAATCATTTAGTCCTGTTGGCCTTAGCTTTTTGGGCACAGGGATGATGGTGGAGGACTTGAGACAGGTACATGGCATGTCTCCAGGGAGGTGTTAAAGATGTTGGTGAACACCAGAGACAGCTGGTCAGCGCAGTGCCTGAGGGTGGCTGGAGAGACAGAGTCCAGCCCAGTTGCTTTGCGTGGGTTCTGCCTCTTGAAAAGTCTATTAACTTCTCCCTCCTGAAAGGAGAGTCGTCTCTGTAATAGGGGTGGGGGATGGGGCCTCTTGGGTGGGAAGGGGTAGTTCAGGACGTCCAATTGTCTTTCAAATCTGCAGTAGAACTCGTTCAGGTCGTTGGCCAGGCGGGAGTCGTTAGTGGTGTGGGGGGCTCTGGGCTTGTAGTTGGTGATCGGCCTGAGCTCTCTCCAGACAGAAGCAGAGTCGTTAGCAGAGAACTGGTGTTTTAGTCTCTCTGAGTACAGTCGTTTAGCCTCTCTCACCGCCTTGCTAAACCTGTCGAAGGGACTCCTTGAATCTGTCTCTATCCCCACTCCTAAACGCTTCCTCCTTCTCCAACCTCAACCTTCTGAGCTTTGCTGAGAACCAGAGCTTGTTGTTGTTGAAGTTCACCCTGGTACGTGTTGGAATACAGCAGTCCTCATAGAAGCTGATGTACGACGTCACAGCCTCTGTGAGTTCATCCAGACTATTGGTAGCAGTCGTGAACATATCCCAGTCAGTACAGTCCAAGCACGCCCACAAATCCTCCACAGCCTCACTGGTCCACTGTTTAGATGTCCTCACAGCAGGTTTACAGAGCTTTAGTTTCTGCCTGTATGCAGGAATCAGGTGGACCATGGCATGGTCAGAGTGTCCCAGTGCTGCTCGGGGGACGGCGTGGTAGGCTCTACTGACTGTAGTGTAGCAGTGATCCAGAGTGTTCCGTTCTCTGGTAGGGCATTTAATGAATTGTATGTATTTGGGGAGTTCGTGGCTGAGATTACCTTTGTTAAAGTGGCCAAGTAGGATAACGAGCGAATCTGGATTTGCTCGCTCCACATTCAGAATCTGGTCGGCGAGCATGCGTTGGGCCTCTTTAACCTGAGGACCCGGCAGCAAGTAAACTCCGACCAAAATGAGCGACGCGAACTCGCGAGGCGAGTAGAAAGGTTTACAGTTTATAAAAAATGATTCAAGGAGCGGAGAACAATGTTGCAGAATCACTATGACATCTACACACCAGCCACTGTTAATGTAAAAACAAATACCACCGCCTTTCATCTTGCCGGAGAGTGCTGTCACGATCCGATCTTACAAGATGGAATCCTGCCAGTTGTAGTGCAGTGTCCGGGATCAAATCACACAGCCATGTCTCCGTGAAGCACAAAACAGAAGATGAAAGAAAGTCTCTGTTTTTCACCATCAGTAACTGAAGTTCGTCCATTTTGTTGCACAGTGAACATACGTTGGAGAGGAAAAAGCTCGGAAGCACTGTTCGGATCCCGGGTCTGCGTAGCCGTACAAGAGCCCCCGACCGTTTACCCCTTGGGCGGCGTTTCGCTGCTTGAGCAAAGCCTAGCGCGGCTTTGACTAGAATGCCCACTAATTCTGCAGCTGGAAGCAGAAAAGTGGGAAATAAATCCACAGGAGTTGTTTCCCTGATGTTTAAAAGTTCGTCTCTTGTTAGGGAACTCCGAAAATCTTGGCAAAACACTGAATTAACAGACAAAACAAGACAAAACAGGGCGCACCGACCGGCTGAGGCTACCATCATCGGCGCCATCTTCTCACCAGCACGGGTGTGCTGTATGTAGCCAACCGTGCTAATCGGAGGTGTGGGACCAGTCCTGGACATCTACAGGTCGACTCAGCCTTAAAATTAGAACCCAGTATGTTGTGTAAACATCACCACTAGGGAAATAAAGGCAGCCGGGCGTGGTGTTGGCCACCCATCCCCTCGCATGCCGTGCCAGCCTTCACAGGTGCTAGCTAACAGCACTTGCCCCAACAGTCTGTTAAGGTTATAGAGGGGGGATCTTTGTCTTTGCTTAGGGTTAGGTTAGGTATCATGGTACACACAGACACATACCCATTCTTTGGGTGACCTACGCCGCTCCATGCCTCGATCATGATAGATTGGTATGTCATCAGAGTTGTCCAGCCAACGAGGCTCCTGGTCCATCTAGAGGCGTGAAAAATGGAACATGCACACATTTTTGAGACAGCGCTGCTTTAGAGGCCCATATATAACAACCAAAGCACAACAGAACATGGCAGTGGTCATGTGTTTTTCTTCTTTCCTTTCAAATTTAAATTAACACAATAAAATAAGTAGATCTACTTATCCCATTTTCCAATATGTTTTTTTTTAATAATTACTTCCAACAAACATGTTTTAACCATGTTTAATTACATATATGCTTTATGCTAGTCTCTTGTAGCACTCAAAACATAAAACCGTGAGTAAATTCCCACTGTAACATTTCTATATAATTAACTAAAATTAAATAACACTGACATACTGTCAAAAAATGCACAGGTGTAGAAATAAAAAAACAGTTTAGTAACCCTTGACTATAATCTGTAGCAACTCTTGTCAACGGCCACATCTGAATCATCTTACCGCATACCTGTCAACCCCTTGTCAGTGCCGTACCTCATTACACATTCAGACCTTATTGGTCACCCCGTGCCCTTATAAATCTCAATGCTCATCCTACAAAGTCCCATCACAATGGAGAAACAAACAAACAGACAATTATTGTTTTGCCCAAATTGAAACGGCTGTACGCCTCCGCATGGACCTGAAAACTCAATGTCCCTGTACAAGAATATGGGGTATATCGTATGAGTTGACAGGTATCCTACCGGCATTCGTAAAATATACCAATCACTTTTTGTTTGGGGGGGGGGGGGGCTTATAACAGAGTATCAAATGAGATCTGTAAACGCTCCAGGATTGTACTTACAAATGTTGTCTTCTCTCTGTAACCGTGGTGACCCATTGGCATCATCCTCTTGTTGCCATGTGGATGCCACGCCACTGTGGGTTACAAACACATGTGCACACACAATTTATAATTGAACGTTTAACCAATGTGTTTTATAAACAGCGACGGCAGCTTGGGGCATAGCGCGCTGCGCTATGAACTCAATTCCTGAAATGAACTTCCCAGGCACGGCTAACATCAGTAGAGAACGGCTAACATCAGTAGAGAACAATACCGGATCTGGTGAGCAGCACCCACACCTCGTCAACCCACGCTGACTCGCGTCGTGAAGTATGGTCAAACAACTTCCATTACAGCCACGGAGAGGCCTTCATCCAGCGCTGGATTGACAAAGGCCTGTACATTATATATTCCTTGTGTTTATGAATTTTAGGAAATGTCAAAAGGCAACAAGTGTTTGAGTGCAACAAAAATTAAAAAGGTTCATTAGACCACAAGAGTGGCCAATAACGTTTGTTTTAATCACAGTTGCTGAACACAAGCACAAATTGGCCAGCAATAAACAGGACTGTTTAAAGGTGTAATATATATAGTTTCTTGAATATAGGGAGGTTGTGAGAACTAGGCAAAATATGTTAACCATCGTGTTCACTGTATCCTAAAATAAATAGAATGTAAAAAAATGACAGTCAACACAATTTTCTGACGACCAATTTGTAAAAGGACACTTTACAAACACGTGTAAAACCCAGTGGGATTGCTTGTTTTTTGAGGATTTAGCAATGTCAAAACACCAGTCAAACAATGAGGACATCTGATAAAGAATAGATGCATTTCACAGACAGGTGTGCTAGATTTTTTTTCTTTCCATTATTTAGAAGTATGAACAGTAACTCACCGCCTAATTAAACCAATTCAAAATGGCACACAAAATATTTGCAAACATTATAAGGACTTTAGTTAAAACGGACATTTACATTGCTTTGTTGTAGAGTCAATTCAAACTACAAAGCATATATCGAGCAAACATGAAAAAAATCTATAGAATTGGTTGCAGCTTTGTTATAATTTGCTCGAAGTTTTAGTCACTAGATATTCTAGCTCCTACAGAGGGCTTCTCGGCACTTTATCCCCCGCCCCCCCCGCAAATGTGTGCAGATACTATTGACTCTATTACATGTAGGGTTTGTAGGCATATATGCCTACAAAATACATTTCTTTTTTTTTGGGGGGGGGGAATATTTGGGGGGAGTTTACCATTTTTAAAAATATATTGGATAAACTTTTTACCCCCGCATCTGAGGGGAGGTGGGGGGTTCACTTACTATAACGTTTTGATTCAGGCATTCTGAAAGGCTCTCATCATTTTGTTGACAAACAGAACGCTGGGCTTTTATAATGCAAGTCAAGACGCTGTACAGAAATCGTGAAATTTACACAACGGTAACAACCCAAAAAAAAAGCCGCCCAACATACATGGGAAAATTGTTGGCCAAAATACCCTCTTACAAAACAGGGCCCTCTCAAACTTTTTTACTCCACGGCAGCCACTTTCGAGCTTGCTCGATCATCGAGACATAGGGCTCTCTACAGCTCCCTCTTCCAAGGGGCCTCTCTGCCAGCAGTAGGAGGAAGTGCACGGGTACACAGGTGGCGTGTAGACTGATTTTTTTTAGTTTCGCTCTTTTTTTATTCCCATTGTGCTCCCGATGTTATGCGATGAGACCAATTAAAAAAACCCATTCAGAACTCTTCCAGATAAGTGGCTGAGACCCTTCGGGTCTGAGAATTACCCCACCAGAGCAGATATCATAGAGGTATCTCTGAGAGGCTTTTTAAGTGACCTGATCAACACGTTATGTATGGGGGGGGGGGCAGAGCAGTGCTTCCTCACAAGAAAGAGTCGGAGAATATTGTTTGAATCATCAAGAGCTCACAGGAGAGGAGCGGTGGCGTAGTGGTTAGTGAACTGTGCGCTTTGAACCTCGCTACTTGAGTTTGGGCGTCGAACTCGCCTGGTATGAAAGAGGTCGTGGGTTCGATCTCGACCCTGACCCCTGTATATTTGGAGTTTGCGTGTCTCTCTCTCACACACACACCGCAGTCTACAATATACACACACACTAAACAGTACACTACACACACTAAACAGGACACTACAGACAACAGTCTACAATACACACACTAAACAGTACACTACACACACTAAACAGGACACTACACACTGCAGTCTACAATACACACACACACAAACAGTACACTACACACACCAGTCTACAATATACACACACACTAAACAGTACACTACACACACTAAACAGGACACTACAGACAACAGTCTACAATACACACACTAAACAGTACACTACACACACTAAACAGTACACTACACACTGCAGTCTACAATACACACACACAAACAGTACACTACACACACCAGTCTACAATACACACACTAAACAGTACACTACACACACCAGTCTACAATACACACACTAAACAGTACACTACACACTTCAGTCTACAATACACACACACAAACAGTACACTACACACACCAGTCTACAATACACACACACTAAACAGTACACTACACACACTAAACAGGACACTACACACTGCAGTCTACAATACACACACACACACAAACAGTACACTACACACAAGTCTATAATACACACACTAAACAGTACAATACACACACCAGTCTACAATACACACACTAAACAGTACACTACACACCGCAGTCTACACAAACAGTACACTACACACACTAAACAGTACACTACACACCGCAGTCTACACAAACAGTACACTACACACACTAAACAGTACACTACACACTGCAGTCTACAATACACACACTAAACAGTACACTACACACCGCATTCTACAATAAAGTACACACTAAACACTACACTAAATACCGCAGTCTACACAAACAGTACACTATTCGGGTGGTGGAGGGTTACGACACATTTATAAATAACGCGATCTAACCAAAAAACCTTTATTATGAATATTGGTCGCGAAAGCCTACGTGTTAAACTGACAGTACACTACACACACTAAACAGTACACTACACACTGTATTCTACACAAACAGTACACTACACACCGCATTCTACAATAAAGTACACACTCGGCTCAAGTCTGCAATAAAGTACCATACACTCGTCTACAAATAAATTACACACTACAGTCTACCTTTTACACTACAGTGCACACACACTAAACTTTAAAGTGAAACAAAACAGTACACTACACTGCAGTCCACAATAAAGTACACACACTCAGTTAACGTCTACGATAAAGTACATACACTCACCTACAGATACATTACACACTACACTCTCTACCTTAGTCTACAATACACACAAACACTAAACTTTATAGTTTTGCCCTTTCTTTGTCAAAAAAGGGTAAAAACCTATTCTTATTTTTTATACTTTGAAACTGCTGGAAAAAAAGGTAACACTACTGTAATCTCCTATCGTGCAAACAGCAATATTAAAATACAACGAATGCAATCACAAAAATATCGACGTGACTTTTTTTTCATGATTTAAAAATTTTGCACTTGTTTAAAAACGTAAATAAGAGAACCCCCCACCCCCCCTTAATTGTATAAATATCGAGGGCCTAGGTTAGGCGAGGCGCTGGCAGCTAGGCCTCACTTTGCCTCAGCCCAGCAGCACCGGCGACATCAGACGCGGAAAGAGCGCGAAAGTTCGCGATGTTTTGCGTGCAACGAGTGCGCCAGTGCGAGCGTGTGAACCCGTAAACAACCGGCGCGCGATCGCCTCCTACGACCTCTGCATCATACACAATCGCCCACTTACACGGATACATTTTTTTAGGTTTCACACATGGGGTTCGTGCACTTCGCGGCGTGAGGCTTTGGGGCGACGGGGGTGGGGTTGGGGGGCACACAGATTCGACACTCGGGGCAATGAACACGACGCTCACTTACTTGCTTGTCGTGTTAAACTCTTTCGCCTCCGTTATTACCCCCCCCGCCCCCCACCTCTCTCTTGGACAGCGAAATTCGCTCCGTCAAAGCGGTGCCCCCCGCAACTCCACTTGGCTCGGGCCGTGCGTCATGACGTCGCCGCGCACTCGCGTACGTCACCACGCACTCGTAAACGTCACCACGCACTCGTAAACGTCACCACGCACTCGTAAACGTCACCACGCACTCGTAAACGTCACCACGCACTCGTAAACGTCACCACGCACTCGTGTACGTCAACACGCCTTCGAGTACGTCACCACGTACTCGCGTACGTCAACACGCCCTCGCGTACGTCACCACGCTTTCAAGTACGTCACCACGCACTCGCGTACGTCACCACGCCCTCGCAAACGTCACCACGCCCTCGCGAACGTCACCACGCACTCGCTTACGTCACCACGCACTCGTGACGTCAGCACGCCCTCACGTACGTCAGCACGCCCATTGCGTACGTCAGCACGCCCTCGCGTACGTCAACACGCTTTCGAGTACGTCACCACGCACTCACGTACGTCACCACGCCCTCGCGTACGTCACCACGCGCACGTCACCACGACCACGTCACTACGCTGATTAGGTCATCGCGTTTTTGAAGCCCAATTTGAATGTCAATTGGCGTGTGGTGGTGGTGACGACGCTGATGATGATGACATCATTTGATGATGATACGTATAATTATTTATAACTGCAGGAGAAATCCGATGAGCCATTAAGCTCTTTTTTCCCACAGATGTCCACCAGGGGCGGGTAAGAGCGCTACAAATAACAGGTCCCTGCAGGGTGGGCTGGTAGGACAAGTGTCTGCGCTGTCTATTGCTGATTTTACACCCAACAGCACGAGATTTCACTTCGTTAAAGTATTGAAAGGGGACGGACGGACACATTAATCTATTGCAGGCTGGTACACTCAGTTTACAACTTCGTTCCTACCAGTAAAACCAAACCATGTCGATCCTATGCCAGGCAAAGCCCACTTTAGTATTAACTTATTTTTCAGAAGCGGCCTGGCCACAAATGATAGCTCAACAAAGTGGATTTTTTTTTCACATGGACATTTATAGCAGCAAAATAATCGAAACAATCTCAACGCGTGTGTTGTTTTATGCGAAGGGAAAACCCGGAGAAAAAAATCCACGCGACCACGGGGAGAGACACGCAAACTCCAAATATACAGCAGCAGGCGTCAAGGTTTGTGATCAAAGCCCCGACCTCCTGTGTACCAGGCGAGGTAGTTAACATCTCCTAGCCACCGTGATAATGATGATGATGAGACGAAAACTCCAAATATACAGCAGCAGGCGTCAAGGTTTGTGATCAAAGCCCCGACCTCCTGTGTACCTGGCGAGGTAGGTAACATCTCCTAGCCACCGTGATAATGATGATGATGAGACGAAAACTCCAAATATACAGCAGCAGGCGTCAAGGTTTGTGATCGAAGCCCCGACCTCATGTGTACCAGGCGAGGTAGTTAACATCTCCTAGCCACCGTGATAATGATGATGATGAGACGAAAACTCCACATACAGCAGCAGGCGTCAAGGTTTGTGATCGAAGCCCCGACCTCCTGTGTACCAGGCGAGGTAGTTAACATCTCCTAGCCACCGTGGCGCGCCTCTCTTCAGCCGTGATTCGCGGCACAGCTGACGGTGCGTCTCAGTCAGCCAACCCATGGCACCAGCTGGGTCTGCCCCGTGACCTTCCTGCCAGCAGCGAGGCCCTTCGACACTTCACGTGATAGCCTCAAAGTGCACCTGGACTGGCACGAACGCCGCGGTGACGTCACCGTTACTGAGTGGCGAACGGCGGGTCTTGTGTGATGACATCAAAAGTGCGCCTGGCATGGCAAAGGCGCCGTAGTGACGTCACCGCTGCTGAGTGGCGAACGACAGGTTTTGTGTGATGACATCAAAAGTGCGCCTGGCACGAACGCCGTGGTGACGTCACCGTTACTGAGTGGCGAACGGCGGGTCTTGTGTGATGACATCAAAAGTGCGCCTGTCATGGCAAAGGCGCCGTAGTGACGTCACCACTGCTGAGTGGCGAACGACAGGTTTTGTGATGACATCAAAAGTGCGCCTGGCACAAGCGCCGTGGCGACGTCACCGCCACTTCGTGACGAACGGCGGTTGTTTTTGTTGATGACCTCACAAAACCACGCACAGGCGCCGTCACCTCGCGAACATTACGCGAGGCCCGTGTGATGTCATCACGTTGGACGTAAAAACCTTCGCTTGTTTGCGCCGCGATGACGTCAACGCGTACTCACCGCCCTGCGGTTGTGGTTGGCGCGAGGTGGGGGGAGGTGTTTTAAGACTGACGCTCCATCAACCACTCGGTTACGTAAAGCGTGTGGCGTCATTACGCACAGCGCGCATTCCCACAGCGTCGGACGCGATGGCGTCATCACGCACTGCTTCGGCGTGGCTTGAGTTCGTTTTATTGGGATCGATGCGAGACCCCAGAGATTGACACCGAGGTCGACGTGAGCCCCGTTGCACTGCGTACACACACGTGGGCATCCCTTTAAACATTGCACTGCTGGCTTATCCCTCTTCCCCGCTGTAAGGATCTTGCTGGATAATTTGACCGCAGCTCAGCCACGCGTGACCCCGCAGACGACAATCTTAACGTACATTTAGTTAAAAAGAACGCCTCGAGTCGCTTAATGTAGTCTATAAAAACCGGCAATAGAATGATTTTGGTGGGCAGGGGCGTGCAAGCGTTGAGTGATGACTGCGATAGAGGGGTACTTGGCGGGTCACGAAAGAGCAGGGGAGGGACGGCAAAGAGTGGAGGGGGCCAGTGGAGTGAAGAGGTGAAGGGGCAATAGAGAAGAGGCGAGGCTTTAAGAGAGGAACGGAAGGGGGACTGCTTAATGTGCATGGGAAACCGTACATACAAGCACTATCCAGGCTCCAACCCGCTTAACTTCCGATATGTCGCATTCCAGGTCTTTTGGTCACAGACAAAATTGTACCCTTAATTATTGAGAATTTGGCAATTGCCACGATTCAATGAAGGCCGTAATGTTGTTTTATTTAAGCTGAGCTTAAATTCAATTATTTAGAGCCAGACATGGGCAAAGTACGGCCCGTTGGGCTTTTTTAATCCGGCCCGCCGAACTTGTACAAATATTATTAAATTAAATTTTACCTTTCTCCTGTAATGCCCACATTTCCCCATTAGATGGCGCACTTTGACCGGGAGTTACATGTTTTTGTATTGTTCATGTTCGTGCGATTTGTTAAATTGCCTTGCAAATAAATGTTTTGTTACCTGTTAAAGGCTAAATCCTTTCATGTTATGATTTTTACATGTCATTTATATTAGTTCACACAAACACTCCATCCATCTGTTCCTGGCCCGGCCCCTCTGTTAAATTTTAGAACCCATTGTGGCCCACGAGTCAAAAAATTTGCCCACCCCTGATTTAGACTGTTGTCAACCCACTCACTACTTCTGGGTGAAGCCCTCCCAGGACCAGTGTAGGTCATGGGAGTTGGCCATACTTCACCACGCTGGTCATTGTTGGTTGGAGAAGGGTGGTAGGTTGAGATGTCAGTCGCCTCTGGCGTAAGTCGTGGCAACTATAAAACTGTCCGTTGCAGATCCCGTAAGGTCATTCGCAAGAGACTAATACTTATTATACAGCATGTGACAGCGTCGTGGTTCCAAATTCGAAAATCTACACTGCAAATTACTCGCTTGGACTATAAATAGCGATCACGCTCCCCAGTGTGGGGGGGGGAAACTTTGGCCGGACCTTCCTGCAAAAAGTCACCATATAGACGCTATATTTACAGAAGCTATTTATCGTTTTAACACATTGGTAACGAACAGTTCGCCGAGATCATGGGTCGGTAACTTTTCAGAGCATTTTTTTTCGTCTTTAACTAATATATTTCCAGAGAGCTACTTGTACACGTGCACAAACATAGCGTGTATACGGCAGACGACGAACACATTCTGACTTTAACACAAAATAGGTGATGGAATAAACTGTCTATTTAGTTTGTTTCCACTCCGCCTCCCTCCCCCCCCTAGTTATTCTACAGTTTGACTGTGCATCGTCACCAAGACATTGCGTCGACGGAGAAAGGATTCGGTTTACGACGATCCGATTTACAGCGGGGTTTTCCAGGAACGCATTGTAACGTCTTAAAAGCGAGGGGGGTGGGGGCGCCTCGACTAACACTCAAAGAGTGTGAAGGACCGAACAAAGTAAATTCAATCTTGAGTCAAAGCTTTCGTGGCTGCAGGAATTTATATTCTTTGGGTCTTTCCGTAAAGTCACGTAGAACACAACATTTACAAAAAAAACTACGATTTCGATTTAAAGCTTTCGTGACTGCAATGATTCATCTTCTTTGGTTTTTTCGGTAAAGTCACGTAGAATGAGAATAAAATAATAAATTGATAAAATAAAATAACACAATAATATTCTCACGACGTTTCGGCCACAACATAGGCCGCTTGTGTTGTGGCCGAAACGTCGTGAGAATATTATTATTTTATTTTATCAATTTATTCTCATTCTACGTGACTTTACCGAAAGAACCAAAGAAGAAAAAAAACTACGATGTTTTGATCGCATAGTTTTTTTGTAAAAAAAAATATTTTTGCTCTTCGTGACTACCGGAAGACCCAAAGAAAAAGTTTAATTCAGTTAAAAAAATCGGCTGCCCGCAAGGGGGCACTCAAAGGGCCGCAAACAGCCGGGTGCGGCTACAGAGCCGCCGGTTGCTGACCCCTGCGAGATGTTATCTACCTCGCCTAGTATGCAGGAGGTCCGTAGGTTCGATCCCAATCACTGACGTCTGTATATTTGGAGTTTTTTTTTTTATCTCCCGAGTACTCCAGTCCTCCCCCTTCCACATTTAGAATCAACACGCGTTTATTACAGTATTTGGTTACCATACATTTCCACATAAGCCACTTAGTTGAGCTATCATGTGTCCAGGTTGCTTCTGAAAAAGAGCTATATAGATCAGTGGTAAAATACAAATTTAGTTGATAGTTTAAATGTACAGACCAACAACCGCCCTAGCTTTGTGGCCCTAACGAGGGACGGTCTGGCCAACTCCACATTGTGTAGTTAAAACACGAAGTGACACTCTCA